CGACAAACAGACGTATCTGCACTACAAATAGGATACTTCACTACGACAAACAGACGTATCTGCACTACAAATAGGATATTTCACTACGGCAAACAGACGTATCTGAAGGGCCGTGCCCATATTTCCAATGGCAGCGCGACGTAACTCAAAATCATAAAAAGTGCAGATACGTCGCTCTGCCTTGGCACGGCAGGACATGTAGAACACACAGACACAAAGGGCAAGTAATAACTATGTACATGTAGAACACACAGACACAAAATGCAAGTAATAACTATGTACATGTAGAACACACAGACACAAAATGCAAGTAATAACTATGTACATGTAGAACACACAGACACAAAATGCAAGTAATAACTATGCACATGTAGAACACACAGACACAATGTGCAAGTAATAACTATGTACATGTAGAACACACAGACACAATGTGCAAGTAATAACTATGTACATGTAGAACACACAGACAGAAAATGCAAGCCTACGCTGAGTTATTCTCTCCTGACAGGCCAATACCAAACGCCTGCTTTTCCTCTGACTCAAAGGAGTAGACGGAGTAGCAGTCGGAGATGAAGTTCTGGAACTCTTCGTTGACGCTGCACGAGTTGGTGCGGACCCGGAGGTGACGTAGGCGGGGCACGCCCATCAGCTTGTTCTCATAGTAGATGTAGCCCTCGGTTGTGGGCGGCAGGGACTGGCCGTTGTACCACGTGTCCCAGTACAGGCCGTCCATCAGCGGGCCTTCCGCGTACTGGGGAGAGAGGGAGACAACACCTCGCGAGGATCAGCCTGTCCCCGTCGTTTTATGCACAAAAAAAACTCTGAAAATTATGCAAACTGAGCCCATAAATATGAAATTATGCGATTCGGTTAGTTTTAATAAAGAATGATAAAGGGAAAAAATTCAGAAATTATGCAAACTGAGCCCAAAAATGTGAAATTATGCGATTCGGTTAATTTTAACAACAAAGGATATATATATGAAAAAATTCAGAAAGTATGCAAAAAAATGATCAAATTTTTGCTAAATTATGCGAGGTGCATAAAACCCCGGGGACAGGGCTCAGCTCATCATCCGTTCAACGGAATGAACATTTGTGCAGAACATTTGTGTGGCATTGAGATGAAATTAGTTGAGTTTTTTTGTTGTTTTAGTATGGTTTTCACGGCAGTCGCAACTGCATAAGGTCATATGAGCATCAAGGGGTGGATGTCAACAGAGAAGTCCAAATGGGGAATCAGGCTTACTCTGCTCACCTCTCTAGCCTCAACAGCACAAAGTCTGCTTCGACTATCAATGCACCCCGGAAATAGCAGGTCACAAGAGAGTGATAAACATACAAAAGAAGTAGAGGAAGAAATGACGATAGTAAGGATGAGGAAAGAAAAAGCAGCAGTTCCCCCTATGTTGTTCCGGCACAGTATGAGCATGACATTGATGAATCAGCCAATTTACAATTCTACTGTGCATAAAAACATGTTAATATCCTCCCTTTGGGAATGGCCTAAAGTCTAAAGACTCTTCAGTCAGTAGCACTGCCCTGGGGGGGGGGGGGGGGGGGGGGCTGTGATGAAATTAGGCGCACGTCAAAATAATGTAAATGAAAGAAACTGACATTTTTCCGGTCCCTCGGCAATTTATTTCGATTTCTTTTTTGCTCATCACCTAGTGTGTGCATTTCAAAACGTATTTCTGTAGCTCCTAATGCTCAAAAACTGACGTGCTCCTGATTCCATTAAGGTGACACATTTATTCCAAGTCATTTGAGTTTATTAGCCACCACCCCCCCCCCCTCCTCCCTGCTAAGTTTGCAAAGGTCATTTAGTAAGTGTTCATACGAGTTGCGAGCGCCGTAAAACCTTAATTTAAAACATTTTTTTTTAAAAATACTTCAGAGATAGGAATGTTCATTGCACCAACTGAAGAATCCAGTGACCATTTTTTCGTTTTAGTAAGAGTTTTATGGCACTTGCAACACAAATAGGTCATTTAAGTGCCGAAGATGAGAAGTGTTTCTAGAAAGAGTAGCACACAACGAAAAAAAAAGGATAGAAGTTGTTTGACAGGAAAGAAATCCATCAACTGCCCACAAAGTTGTGATGGGCTGGAGGTATAGTCTTGGAAAGAAGTGGTCGCTTTTAAGGACAAGCGGGCTAACCCAGATTTCGGGGGTTTCCAGAAAATCTTGACCTTCACCAAAAGTGGGCATTGACCTACCTATAGGAGAAGTTTGGTTTCATTGGTGGGTATTATATTTGTTTGGTTATAGAGAAAACTCTCCTTGTCTTTTAAAGGAACTGAACAAGGGGCAAAAATTTTACCTTCGATTTTCTCAAAACAGCACTTTTCGGGATAGCCCCCTTGTGCTTAAAAGCGACCAAGTATTACCAGAAAAACTTTTTCTTGATTGCTTCTATCTACGGCAGACACGACCTACCTACATGTACAGAAACTTACCTTCCAAAAATCTTTGACTGTCGATATAGACCTAAAGCTGACCCCATCTTTACTTTCTGATTCCAAAAACAGATCCATCATCAACTTGGTGTAGTAGTACATGCTGGTTGATGACATTCCAAACGAAACTGAAACAAGAATTTTTTATTTTTTGGGGGTTTTAGTAAGGTATTACGGCGCTCGCAACTGCATAAGGTCATTTGAGCGCCAAGGGGTGGATGTCAACAGAGAAGTCATTACAGGGAATCAGACTTACTCTGCTCACCTCTCTAGCTTCAACAGCACAAAGTCTGCTTCTACTATCAAGGCACCCCGGAAATAGCGGGTCACAAGAGCGTGAGAGCGTGACAAACATACAAAAGAAGTAGAGGAAAATGACAATAGCAAGGATTAGGAAAGAAAAAGCAGCAGTTCCCTGTTGTAGTTCAGGCACAGTTATCAGCATGACATTGATGAATCAGCCCATTTACAGTTCTACAGTGCTTGAACGAGAAATGTCCCCTGTTTGGGAATGGCCAAAAGACACTTCAGTCTGTGGCACTGCCCCGGGGGGTAGAGCATGACATTGTTGGATCAGCCCATTTACAATTCTACTGTGCATAAGAACATGTTAATGTCCCCCCTTTGGGAATGGCCTAAAGACACATCAGTCAGTGGCACCGCCCAGGGGGGTAACCAGAAAAGTCAACACTTTATCACTCCAAAAGAGTAGGAACCTAGGGTTATTTAGGGAACACTAACAAATTTCATCATGATCCCAGAAAAGCTTACTACAAATCCTAGCTGGGAACTTTGCAGACCCTAGAACTGAGGCCAACTGACATGAAATGCTAGCAAGGGGCTTACATGGTATCCAATGTTCTGGGAAGAATCCATTTCTAGAAACCTTGTATGAATGTCTGTGTTTTGTGAGAAAAACTGTACAACAGGATATTTGTACATTAGTGTGACATCGTGGTGAAATCGGGCATCCGTCAACATAATGATATCAAAGCAACCAATATTTTTCTGCTCGTTGAGTAATTTTTATCTATTTTTTGTGTTTTTTGCTCAACAACTTTTACATGTCCATTTAAAAACACATTCTGTATGGATGTTTCTGAAAACCTGTGATCAAAGGCACAAAAATGTATATTTGCAGTTTCCAAGGACCCTTAAACTTCGGAAGTCACCAAACTTTGGCTGCTATTTTCTCGCTAATTATACCTCTGACACCAGAGGACCCCCACCTCCTTCAATCACAAATACATGTGTAAGATATATATGGGCAGCTTTTTTTCATTAAAAGTAAGACATACAAAACAAGCTTTAAGATGCAACCATAATAATAATAATTAATATGTTCTAAAATTGATAGGCGCCTAATTCCAGCATGTCAGAACCCAGGTGGTCCCTACGTCCTTTAAGTATCTGTCACCCAAGAACTTAGGTGGTCACGCCCTGTTGAAAAGGCACGGAGAGCAGAGGCTGTGCCTTTTAGCTTTAGTAAGTTTTACTGCACTTGCAACACAATAAGGGCATATAAGTGCCGAAGATTAGAGGTGTTACAAGAGAGTAACAAACGCAAAATAGAAGAAGGGGAGAAAAGGGCGATAGGTGTTTGATAGGAAAGAAGGAGCAAACCACACCAGAGCACCCTCCAACCACCCGCGAGGGGCAGTGCCTAACAATTACTAACATTGCCAGTAGGGATTTACCAGGAAAAGTAACAGACCACACCACCGGCACATATGAAATATCAAACAAAAGAAGAATTGAATAATTAGGCTATAATCAGCTTATACTAGTCTGTAAATCAAATTTAAACATTAAACATTGGAAAAGCTGTTTGAAAAACTAAATACAGGCAAAGAAAGACTAAAAATTACCAACAACGTGGAGGGGAAATGGGAATTGCAAACAGTCTGCTACTAAAAAGTCAAAACGTTATTTTAAAATTACATTACTTGTGAAAACTCCATGCCATTAGGAATAGACAGACTCATTCTACTGCAAATACAAAACAATGAAAGCAATGGAAACTCCACAAAACTACCCAAGTTCAAGAACACCCACTTTGGGATTCGAACCACCGCCATCTGCTCTGTAGTCCGCCATAATACCAAATGAGCTAACGGAGTGCCCTATGCTACTAAAAGTTTTTCTTTTAAATATCCATCTCACACGGATGCCCTCAAACCAAAGAGCTCTAAGGGCATACAACATCAAATATTTTGGCTGGAGAGCCAGAGGAAGACCAAGGCGACGATGGAGTGAATCTGTGGCAGACACCCTCAGAACTCACAGGACGTCCCTCCTACAGGCCACTCGCCTTGCAGCAGACAGACGCCTGTGTCTCCCCGCGACACCCACAGGTACAAGCGGAAGAAAAAAGTAATAAGTAAGTAAGATCCATTTATGAAGAGTAGTAGTTTATCCTTTCTGTCAAAATTGCTGCGCACAAATGAAAAGATCCAGAACTGAACTTTTCTTTCAACAAACACTTCCCATTTTCCAGTAAAACCCCATCACTTACTTATACACACAAATATGAGGAAGACTAAGTAGATGATCAGCTCCCGGAACGTCTGCTTCACAAATAACTCCTGGTCTCCGTCAGATCCTCGGTTTGTAACCCAGAGCCCTGAACAATCAGGAAACAAGGTACAGAAAGTTAAAGACAACTATGACATTAAACGGTCGCTTTAATGCACAAGGGGACTATCCCGAAAAATGCTTGTTTTGAGAAAATCGAAGGTAAAGGTAAAGTTTTTGCCCCTTATTCAGTTTCTTTAAAAGACAAGGAGAGTTTTCTCTACAACCAAACAAATACACACACCAATGAAACCAAACTTCTATAGGTAGGGAAATGCCTACTTACGGTTTGCGTTCAAGATTTCTGGAAAATGGAAATCCCCGAAATCTGGGTTAGCCCGCTTGTCCTTAAAAACGACCAAATATCAACTGATTTCTCAACTGACAATGAAAATCAATATTACGTCCTTGTCAGTTCTATTTCAGTATGTAACCAGGTTTCTGTTGTTGTTATTGCTAAAACAATTTTTTTAAGTTCAGCATAGTAAAAAGATAAAATGTTGGAATGTTGTTGCTGGATAATATTATCATATTTTAGTCTAGGTTTGACAAAGCAATGTAAATATAATCACATCAATGATTTACATTTCTTAAAACATCTTTAAATAGTTATCTCAAACAGAAAGAGTGGAGTGAGGTGAGTGCTCATCGGGGTGTGTCTTTGAAAAAGACACGCTAACCCTAGCTAAAAAATAAACCGAAGCGCTGCACAATAGACTCTAGCAACTTGCAATAGCAGTATCGTGTTTGTTGAATATTTCACATGTGTGTGTTTTTACGTATCTATCTATCTATCTATCTATCTATCTATCTATCTATCAATCTATCTACTATCTATACGTATATATATATATATATATATATATATATATATATATATATATATGACGCCATTATTATTGTAAACCATATTTTCCCATTGGAATCCATCAAATGCAACGTTTATTTTCATACAAAAATAAATATATAAAGTACAAGTTCTCACATCAGTCCCAACAGTAACAAGGAGAATTTTCTTTATATTATTATTAAACAAACTTCTTCCAAATCATATTTTACATTACTCACATGAAACTAATTTCTCACTGCCAACAAACGCATTACTCACTGCCAATAAACTCATTGTAACGCAGTGTCAATAAACTCATTACTAACTGCCACACTGTCAATAAACTCATTACTCACTGTCAATAAACTCATTACTCACTGCCAATAATAAACGCATTACTCACAGTCAATAAACTTTGAACAGCCTCCCTCATTTCTGGTTACAGATTCTTTTTCTATAGCGACTGGTTCTTGAGTTTGAGCTGGAGTCGCCGCCATTTTGCAGGAAATATTTCCTCTCGATCAATACTTTTACTTCAGTTGCATTCCTTGATCTTCAATATTTTCAACCTGAAGATAAGTTTTACACAAACAGAAAGTGAACTATGAATGTGATGCAGACGGAGGGTATACAACCAATTTTACAATTGTGAGGTGCGCTGACAATATGAATCTTATTTCGCAACCTGCAATATCAGCCGAAAATTGACACCGGGGTCAAATTTATAGATATTGAACTGATTCCTTTTTTTTTCAAGTTTAACATGTCTTTTATAATGTCAAATGAATAAATTATAAATTATAAAATCTCGACGTATACATTTAACGTGTACCTCAACTTCGTGAGCACATTTCACAATTTTAGACCACTGAAACATTTTATTTCTGGGCCAAGCAGAGACAAGGGTAGAAATTCTACATGATGTATACCTTATATTGGCTACAGCTTTGGCAACTTTAAGTGTAAGTACCAATATTGTAAAAACGGCAAGGGGAGAATATTTTCTAGACCTCTTACAAATATCGCACACTTTTTCTATTACTATTACAGTAGCCTACTAGATCTAGATCTAGATCTATGATTTATAAATAATAAGTATTTTAGCCTATTTTGTCAGAGGGCAAATCTCAGGTGTCAGGTTACAAAAGAAAGATGGAGATACTTTTTTTTAGGCAATCACCGCACTTTGGTGGGTGACTAAGATCTAGAATCTAATATCTAGATCTAGAGTACATATTGCTAGTCTAGAATCTAGATCTAGATTCTGGAGACTTGTCCTCATGTTTCCCTCCAAAACCATTGATATATTTTTCTTTTTTTTAAAGGGGGGGGGGGGGGCAAAATTAAAACCAAGAGTCTTTGAAGAGTGGGAAAAACGGCGGAGGCTTGTACAGCTCCTCTATCAATAGGCTCCCTTACGTGTGTAAGCCCAAGGGAGTTTTAGACTATGGTTATGGTAGGCCTTGAACTTTGAACCTACAAACTGTTTAGGCCCTAGGCTAGGCCTAGAATTATCTAGGTGTTAGGCGGGGTTTAACCCCTGGGACGGACGAGCTGAAGACATTTTTCAAAGCTTGAGATGCTAGATTCTACACTAAATTACAGCCAAATTGTCATGAAAACTTGTTCAAAACGACCACCTATTGTCGAGGAGAAAAGTGGTCATCTTAGACAAATTTATACATTGGTAAGATCTATGTAGATTCTAGATAGATCTATTCAAAACAACACCAAAAAAGAAACAAACAAACAAAAAAACGCAAGCAGAGCAGGGAAGTGGGGTGTAATTGTAATGGTCGTTTGTACAGTAGACATGACACGTCTTTGAGAAGCAGATTTAGAAAAAGATTGTTCAACTGTAGATCTAGGCTATTTCTGTTATTCGATTAGATTTAAATTATTGCTCGATGTAACCTGTGGGTCCTTTGCCCTGATCTTTACTTTCAGGAATAACCAATCTGCACTGTGGGCCGTTTCGTTTACAAAAACATGATTCAATGATTTGTAATGGTCGTTATCCACAAACTTCTCGTTTTTTCCCCACTTCCTGTTTATGACATGACATACATGGATCGGATCAAAGTTTGTTAATCTATATTTTGATCGGATTAGATTTACTCAAATACAAACTTTCGTTGAGTAACTATAGATCTAGATCTAATTATTTGAGTCTCCTTCTTTAGATGTGAAAATGTAATATCTACCCAACCTCGGGTTTATATCTGTGAATTTCCCTACATTTTCTCTCGATCTATTTGCGAACAATGTAGAAAGTTACATTTTCTTTTTCGTGCAAAAAGAAAAATTTGCTCTCATGATCGAACCCCACATATTTTTTTCGGTAAAAAAAAGTATGGTAGGCCTAGAGACGTGTTGCCTACTAATTTCAAGTAAAAAGAGTAGTGTGTATTTATATTATTATTATTTTATTTATGAAGTTGCGTTAGCCAGATTGTTCTCTCTCTCTCTCTCTCTCTCTCTCTCTCTCTCTCTCTCTCTCTCTCTCTCTCTCTCTCTCTCTCTCTCTTCACACACACACACACACACACACACACACATACTGTGGCAGCTGCTGATGACACTGAGCGAGAGACAGACAAAATATAAAAAAAAGAAGAAAAAAAAAGACAGGAAAAGAATCTGGTGGTGCAAGAGGGTGACACGTGTCATAAGAGACGCCTCGACATGACCTTTACAAAAATGTTTGAGCTACACTGAAAAACAACGACGCGTCCCGACCGTTTAGAGTCTGGGCGAAAAACAGAAGAAAGAAAAAAAGAACCCAAACCCAAAACCACAATAATGACAACATCCTCCCTCCCAAGACTAAAAAAATAACAGACAAACAAACGAACAAAGAACCAAACCAATTTCATCCCCCTCCCCCCTTAAAAAATAGAACAACAACCA